AAAAAAAAAAGGAGAGACAGCATTCATAACGAAGCGGAAAACATGCGCCAAAAGGCTAGGTATCATACCAAAGGAGGGACTTCGGAGTGCACTCGGGTATAAAGGAAAGTCACCAAAGTATGTACTCCGGAAACAAATCAACATGCGTCGTGTCTTTAAAAGAAAAGAAAAGAAAAGAAAAGATCCATATAAAAGAGATGAGTTATATGCGACGGACGCAAAACAGAAGGTGTTGTGTCAAATCGGGAAAGAGTAAAAAAAGGCCACCCAAACGCCGGTAATGCAAAAGATGTCGATCAACATTCATCGATGATTTTACCCTCCTCCCTTTTGGTAATCCAATCTAAAGAAACTCGACGGAATGCGTGGGCCAGATTGAGTCCGTTAGACATACTGATAATGTCAGGACGGCGTGATTATTCCCGTCGCTGTTGGCAGACCATTGAGCCGAACCCCATTAGTCGACATATATAGCACAAGTCATAGGTAATCGATCATAGCACAATGCAGCATGAGCTTTTACGCTTATCGAATGTGAGAAGAGCGGCACGAGTAGCGGCTTCGAAGACGTCGTCCACCCCCTCTCCAGTCAAGGAGGAGCATTCCAGGTACTTTCTGGCTCCAATTTGGGTCGAGATATCACTCCCTTCCTTCGACGTGACGAATTTTAGGGACTTCTTTCTCATCTCCTCAATCGCGAGAGGGTCCTCCCGGAGATCTTTCTTCAAGCCAACTAGAATTATCGGCACACCTGGGCACCGCTCATTGGCCTCCTCGATCCACTACGGTTGGTTTAGGTGAGTCTGACCCGATAAGTGGCGGGGGAAAGTGAGGCACCCACCTTGTGCTTGACGTTCTCCAAGGAATCCGGAGTATCCACCGAGAACCCGATCAGAATCACATGCGCTTTGGAATATGCTAGCGGACGCAACCGTTCATAGTCTTCTTGGCCAGCTGTATCCCATAATGCTAATTGTACCGACCGGCCATCAACTCTGCAATCCGTCACATAATTTTCGAAAACCGTGGGGACCTGGATCAACACACGCGACAGTCAGACCATGCACTAGGCAGCAACCATAATTGAGGAAGGCACAGGGTTACGGACATAATGCTGTCAACAGAACCCAACAGTTAGCTTGTGTCTTATGCATTCTTATCGGACCTGGCGTAATCCAGGCAGTACTTACAGTCGGGAAATAACCGAGGGTGAAGACACTCAGCAAACTAGTTTTCCCACAGGCACCATCTCCGATAATCACCAACTTCCTACGGTAATTCTCATATTAGCATCATAAGCAAAATCGAACACGAGCTCCACTTTCGACTTCCGAGCCACGAGAGGGACACCACAGAAGTGACCGTCTCGAGAGCGCATGGGACGAGGAAAATTCAAGTAAAAGAAAAAAAAAAAAAGTTGAAGTAATGAATAGTCGGACGTCAAGGTCCATTCCGCTTGTGAAGGCATTGTCGCACATACCTTCGCATCACATTGTCATTTTGTTGTTGGGCCATTTTCTACGTGGGCTGACACTTCGGAATCCCTTCGTCAAGATAACACGGGGCGCTGAACGAAGGGGGATAAAGAACGCGACCTGAGTGGAGGGTGGGCGCTGATATGCCCTGGTCGGAGCTTTGGACGTTCAGGTACCCGACCAGCTGTAGTAAATCACTGAAGACGGAAGGGCTTGGACGGGTGATGTCTTTTTTGACAGCAGCCTAAAAAAAGAGGGGGGACAATAAATTGTTGCGGAATCCCCTCCCCCGAACAAGGTAACTAGTAGTTAAGTAGTAACTGAGATGATGGTTGAAGATGATGAGCTTTTGGGGAGGGAAAAAAAGACCAGCAGCCGGTGGTTCTGGAAGGCGGTCGAGGTGAGGCTGAGGAGACTAACAGGTTCAATTAGATTGATCGGCCAGACTTTGGGAGAAGGGGGGGGGGGAGGAAAGTTGAAAGGAAAGAAAGGATGTGGTCTGGTTCTGTCAAGAAATTCAATCCAATTGTACGGAAGTATGGGTAATGAATGGGAAGATCCGCTTTAATTACACTTACACGGGACTTGACAGGGGGCCACTTGAGTTTTATGATTGGTTCCAACCGGGTCCTCTTTGCTTCCGTTTTCTTTTACTTACGGGTAACGGTACCGAGCCAGGTCAAAAGAATGAAGAAATAATTAGAAAAAAAAAAAAAGAAAAAGAAAAAAAAACCAGGAAACACGAATAACAATATAATCGGTAATAACCAAAATCAATAGATTGAAAGAAGTAGGGCAAACGTATAGTTAAAAAAAAAAAATACATATACACACACTTTCACTGCCTTTCCACAAGGATTCGAAGGTCACATCAGTCAATGTTTAAATAGAAGAGGACCATGGAAGAGAAGAAGTTTAGAACCGGTCACTGATATTAATAGCTATTCGTCCATCGTCCATCGTCCATCGTTCCATAATCAACGCAAAGGATGAGATCGGCCGGTGGATGCCACAGCTGAAAGGGCAAAGCCAAGGTCAATCCACTTGTTACTAAGGTTAGAGGTTTGTCTCAGACATCGACCGGCTAGACGTTCATAATTACCGTATAGTCGCTGTCACTATTCCCTTTCAGTGGAGGAATGCAATGCGACAGCCGATAGGAGGAGGGGGGGGGGGGCTTCGGATCCAAGGTTAATAATAGACCGAAGGGATGTTGTCTTTCTTTTTCCCCGGAGTTGCCGAAACCTTTTGATATCCGTGTGAGGGAGCTTCATCCTCATCATCCATCCTCATCTTCTTCCGTCATATACTTCATTTATGTTCAGGATCAGCCGTGGGTTTTTCTACAATGGTCGACGGCATATCGCTGAACTTAATAATTTGGATCAGGAACTAACTTCCCCACTGAGTTGTAACGTTCAAACATAATTTAATTTAAATAAAATAAAATAAAATAAAAATCAAGATCAAAATAAAAAAGAAGGTACTGTACTGTCTAGACATGGGTTATAGCCTTATAACCCATGTCGGTCAGTATTTTTCTTTTGTTGTAAAGTTCTATAATTCCAATATTATTTAATATTAGCCAATGATTGTAAACCAATAGAAAAGAAAAGAAAAAAAAAAGGAACAGCATGGATACTCAATAAGAATCCAGAATGGGTGTTGATGACGCTGATGAGAGTGAAGATCACATGATGTGCAGCTATTTGCCTACCGCCTGGCAGAATGACCACATGGGGATCCTGATAATGGCCTCCCATTAGTGCCTGAGTTCCCAGGCCAACAATCTCGCTTGCGGCGGCTATCCTCTTGCGGCCAGCGGCACGGCAACCATCCAGAGCCCAAAGTCCGGCGTCAAGATCCACCGTCCAAATCTACGCCCATCATCTTCAACCAATTTCACTATCCCGCTTTGGTTGCGCTTGTTCGCCGACGACCAGCGTAGGACTTGTTAGTCCCCCTTCTTGATACCCTAAGTCTCTCCGGCCACATTGGCCTCCCCCCTCCGTTCGCCCTTGACGCCTGGGCCCCCTCGCCGTGCGGCTCGGGTCCTTTCCACCCCTCTCCGCCCTCATTCCCCGTTTTGTCGGCCTGGCGTCTGACCTTGACGAACCTTTGCTCTCCACCCGCCACTCGTTTACTTCCACCAGAACCACTCGGACTGGGAGCTTGATTGTCCCCTTTTGTTCCCCCACCGGAAATAAGCAGACCGGGCTCGTTAGAGAGAGATTGCTGGTGAGCTTTTGAGTGGTCATTGACGATTATATAAGCCGTCCTTCCTCTGACCAGTTCGCGCAACATTTAGCATGGTGGCTGGGCTGGAAGAAAGCTAGAAGATCTTACGCCATCTGTCTAGACCTACAAAAGGAAACATATGATCCCATGGCTCCTCCGCGTCCTCCCCGATCTCCTCCTAGCTCCACAATGTCAAATCATATGTTGGGTGCACCTCCACGCCCCACCAATGGCGACACTCACATTCCGAATGAAAACCTTCCCCCATCATCGATAGATATGAAGCCTATGACCGTGAACCGCAAGAAACAGAAACGCCGCCAGAAGCAGGCCGCTCGTTTGGCCGCAGAGCGCCAGGTAGAAAACGGAGTCGTACTCCCGGATGCCGCAGACCGAAACGGCCTCGGTCCCGCTGGGCCAGGAAGTCACATATCCGATGAACCGGAGATCGACCACTCTGTGAATGGAGACGCGTATCACGATGATGAACTAGACGCTTGCAGCGCGCATCAAGATTTCCAGCCGGACACGAATGGCCCCGATGATCAGAAATCGACGAGTCGAAAATCGAAAAAGAAGAAAGGAAAGAAAAACCGTGCGAACTCGCAAACTCTTGGTGATGAAAGTCCTACTCTACAATCCACCCCCTCCGTCTGCATGACACACCCTCTTCCGCCGCCTCTCCCGCCGCATCTGGGCCCGCGCACGATGGTCAAACCGTCCAAAGATCGCAGCATATGGAATACCTCCACGCAAGAAGAACGCGAGAATATCAAAACATTCTGGCTCGAATTAGGCGAGGAGGAACGAAGGCAGCTGGTCAAAGTGGAAAAGGATGCGGTATTAAAGAAGATGAAGGAGCAGCAGAAACACTCGTGCAGCTGCACCGTATGTGGAAGGAAGAGAACGGCGATTGAAGAAGAGCTTGAGGTGCTGTACGATGCCTACTATGAAGAGCTGGAACAATACGCCAACAATAATCAAGGATCTTTCGAGAAAGGCGCACCGATTGTCCCCCCACCCCGACTCTATCAACCACCGTTGCGATCGCCCGGACAACATACTCGGACACATGGTCAATATCACCCCTCACGAGGTCGCATTCACGAATTGCCTGAAGATGATGAAGATTTGGAAGAAGACTACGATGAGGATGATGAGGACGATGAACCGTACAGTGATGATGATTTCGAAGACGAAGAAACGCGTGCAGCTCGCGCAGATTTCTTTGCCTTTGGGAACAGTTTAACTGTCAAAGGTAAGACAAAACCGATGTCGATTCGTCTTCCTTTTCTTTTCTTTTCTTTTTTTCTTTTTTTTTTTTTTTT